CTCCAGATTCTTTTTTTTAAATAAAATGAAGAAAAAATGTTAAAAGTTGTTGTAAAACAAGTTTATTCACTAAATAAAATCTTCACATTTCAACCAACTTTGGTTTTTAGTGTCTAAAAATGTACAAAAAGAACCAATAAGTGTGTGTGTGTGTGTCAGTGTGTGTGTGTGTGTGTGTGTGTCAGTCGTCCCAGGCGAAGTCAAATGGCTGGAACTCGTCTCTCAGCTGTTTGCAGCTCTCCTCTTCTTCCTCTCGGCTCTGTTTACACTCCCTCCAGTCGGCTCGGGTCGGGACGTTCAGCACCGCCTCGCTGGCCAGAACCTCCCTGTGAGAGACCAACAGATCAGATCAGTGGCGCCCCCCGCTGGTAGCCCCCCCTCTGCTCGACCGTTTCTTACCTGCCAAACTGCAGAGGGAAGTGTTTCTGGATCCTGTGGTAGAGCTTCACTCTGGAATCCAGCTCCACGTAGAAGTAGGGAGTTCCAGGAGGAGCGATCTGGACCAGAAGAAACCAGTCAGCTCATTTTCCTGCTGCTTCTACGGGATAAAACTTGTGCCAACAGGAAGTGAATTTGAATTGTTCAGACTGGATCTGAATGTGCAAAATTTGAAACTGAACGCATTGGTTTGAAAATAAATTTCATTAAATTGAAACTGAATTTGAATTAATTAGCTTTGAAACTGTATTTTAGTTTATTAAAAATTCAGTTTGACTACTTTCACTTTCAGTTCCATAATTCAGATGTTTGTCACATCCTGGTCCTTGAGAAAGCCAGGGAGAGTAATCAAACACAGATTTATGTTTCACTTTGGTGAAGTTTCCCTTCTGGATGTAACAGAGTTGATGTAATCCACTGTAAAAGTGACAAAAACACACAAAGTTATTTTATTGCAGTGATTAATTTGACCTATATGTAGAAAATGTTACATTTACATCACAACATGGATCAGATATTGATCAGATGCTGCTGCTGACTGATCCATGATCTGTCAGCATGAAAATGAAAATCTGAAT